TCCTTGAGAGCTTCATAATGTTGAGTTGAGATATCATTACATTTAATATGGATCTTGTGATTGCATTGACTACAGCACAAGTATTTTTGGTTCTTATGAACCCTCTTAAGACAAATGGTGCAAATAGTGCTGGAAACTAGGAAAGGGATTGAACTTGCATTCTGTAGTCTGTCTATAATATGGTTGGTTTTGTCTTTGATAGAGGCTATCTGGTTTAAAGAAAAAAAAATTGTAAAAAGAAGCAAAGAACTAAAAAACAAAAAACAACTTGATACCTTAGTACTGAGCTGAGGATTTTAAGTCAGATACAAATGTATAACTAAAAGTGTCGCAAAAGCAAATGTTATACGACAAAATGGTGACAATTGAAATTCTGGTTATTCATCTAGAGAGTCAAAGTATGCTGTAGATTCAACAAAGTCCTTTTCACTGTAGGTATACTTTTTGAAACCTGAGCCAATGTTAATAAGCAAGGTTTCAGGGTAGGACAGCTTTATTTTCCATGACCTATTGTGAATCATAAAGAATCTTCAGATCTGAAGGAGCTTTTTCCTTCTGATCATGGTTTGAGCAGAAAACAGCTGCTCAACTTTAATTGTTAACTTGACTTTCTTTGTTGTTTGGAACTTTGTGTCCATGATTCTTTTTGACTGAGATAAGACCAATGAGGTGAATAGAATACGCTAGAGGAACAACACAATAGTGTGGAAGTGAGGCCGCCTGATTTCCGCAAAGTCTCATTTTGCACGGCAAGAAAATTTTCATGTGTTCATTTCGAAGTTCGATTGAAAATGGTTATATCGTGCATTGCTTTTGGTTGTCAGAACCGACAAATTGACAAGAAAAAGTTGTGTCTAAACGGGGATGGAAGCCAGGCGGATCGCTATAACTCTAAAACAGAAATAAGCCACGATGGAGCTAGTCCTAGCTCCATCTCATTTCATCGGTTGGTTACAACTCTCTTATAGCATTTTCGTAAATTTTCTTTTTCCATGTTAGTAAAACAAAAATAAAATCATTTCTGAAAAAGAAATTAAACAATTGCAATCCTTTTCTCGGAAACAATGTATTAATTCGAAGGGGTTAGCAGGGCCTACGCCGCGAATTTGAAAGTAGGGGGGGTTAAGGCTAGCAAAAGTAAGGGGCCAAGGCTTTATCTTCTTTTACTGCAGCTTTGAAACTATTTGCTCTGCAAAAAAGTGGGGACCATGCCTCTCCGCCCCCCCCAGTGGTGTGGGCCCTGGGTAGTACCTGTGGCCACAGGTGGACATGGGGCTATAGCCACTCTAAACCGCGAAATTGGAGAGAAAATTTTGAAATCTTGATACTTTCTAGAGATTTGTAGAAAAATTAAATCTTTAGCCCTCAAAAAATCAATTCCAACCTTTGATGTGCCTGGCTGTGTCCTAGAAGCTACAAATATAGTCTAATTAGCTCATTTTGGATAACTGGCACCCAGAAATGGCTTCTTTCTCACAAATGCACAAACCAATCCATCCCCCAAATCTTTAATTAAACGATTATTGCAACCAAACCAAACCTAATTCACTTTGAAACTGTTCTTAATGTTACCTCATTGTAACTGGTTAGGATTCTCTCTCTGAATATCAGCAATGGTAAGGTCAACAATGCAGGCAATGTTATTAATAAAACCTATTGATCATTAGAGTAATGCATGGTAAGCAAAATACTTCCTTCAATTGTGTAGTTTATTGAGGACCCTCTTAACAATTATATAATATTTAGATATAACATTGTCTGATCCTCTGAAGGGGGGCTACATTCACAAGTCCTGAATTTCATAACCTTACTTCTGCATTCTCAGTTTAGATTTTTCAGTTTATAGCCAGCCTTATTAAGTTCTCATAATTTGGTACTTGCTAGATTCCCTGCAAAGGAGGAGAGGCGGAAACTTTGGATTGCGGCTGTGAGGCGTTGGAAATGGAGCCCAACAAAATATTCTTATATCTGTAGCCAACATTTTCTCCCATCTGATTACAAAGTGCCACCAGGAGAACCCTACACTCGCTTGAAACCAACTGCCATCCCATCAGTATTCCCTGAATTTCCAAAATACCTACAGCGTGCTCCACCAAAAAACAGGCGGGAATTGAAAAGGAAAACACCCAAGTCACCTGAAGGAATTAAAGCCAAGAAACAAAGGGTGGAAAAATCTGCCTACATTGCAACTGGTGCTGGAGCAAATTCACCAACAAAAAAAAAGCTTAAACGTAAAATCAAAACTTTAAATCAAAAGCTGCGATGCAGAAATAACAAAATCAACTCACTTCATGATATCATTGATACAATGAAAAAAAGAAGCATGCTTTCATTTTCAGCAGCTGATATATTAAAAGATCAGTTTTCTGGAATTTCCAGTGAGATATTCATGAATGAAATAAGAAATTTATCAGCCTCCCCTAAACGGATGCGTTACAGCGAAGAATTAAAAAAGTTTGCTTTAACTGTAAATTTCTACTCCCACAAAGCTTATAGCTTCTTAAGAAAAATTTTCAAGCTGCCACACCCATCATCAATCAAACAATGGACAGCCTCAGTCAACTGTGAGCCTGGATTTCTTTCTGAAGTTTTCAGGGACTTAGAAAAACAAAGTGAGAGTAAGCCTGATATGGTAGATTGTGCCCTGTTAATTGATGCAATGGCAATTCGGAAGCAAGTGATCTATGACCAAGCCAGATCCAAATACTCTGGTTTTGTTGACTATGGAAATTTGATCCCTGAAAATACAGAATCGCCAGCATCTGAAGCATTGGTTTTTATGCTGACTGGCCTTAAGAATCATTGGAAATGCCCTGTTGGCTACTTTTTAATAGATAAATGCAATGCAGAAACACAGGTTTCATTGATCAAAACCTGCTTGTCTCTAGCTGCCGATCATGGACTAAGAATATGGTCAATTACATGTGATGGCACTTATACCAATTTTGCTTCCTTAAAAGGCCTTGGGTGCAAGTTTTCCACAAAGTATGATGAAATGGTAGTCAGGTTTAAACACCCCACAAGGGATTATTTTGTGTATGCCACACTGGATGCATGTCACATGATAAAGCTGGCTAGAAATGCTCTTGGGGATATGGGAAACCTCTACAATGCTCAGGGAGAAACAATCTCTTGGGCATATATTGAAAAATTGTGCAAGCTACAAGATGACCAGGGATTTTCAATTGCAAACAAGCTTACAACAGTGCATACTAACTGGCAAAAGCATAAAATGAGAGTCAAGTTGGCAGCCCAAACATTAAGTTCTTCAGTAGCAGATGCATTGGAGTTTTTGAAGGATGATATGATGGCTGAGGATTTCAAAAACTGTGGTGCTACAGTCCAGTTCATAAGAAACATTGATAGGCTGTTTGATTTGCTGAACTCCAGGCATCCAATGATGAAAGGGTTTAAGTCCCCCATCAGTAAATCAAACCTCAGCACTGTGCAGAATCAGGTCAGGAAGGTCTGTGAGTATCTTTTGTCACTAAAAGCAAGCGACAGCCAGCTACTTGCTGAAAACCGTAGAAAGTCCTTCATCCTTGGCTTTGTTTCTGCAGCAAAGTCTATCATTGCCATAGCAGAAGATCTACTTACAAGAGAAAGCAACCAGTTGAAGTATTTACTGACTTATAAATTCTCCCAAGACCATATCGAGCTATTATTTTCTTGCATCAGAAGCCGTGGTGGATTCAATAATAATCCAAATGCTCTTCAGTTCAAAACTGCCCTTCGACAGATTTTATTGCGAAATTCAATTATGGCATCAAACAAGGCCAATGTTATCTGCTTTGAAGATCAAGCACATGGCTCAATATTTTCCCTGAAGGCAAGCAAAAGGCGAACACCAATATCTGATATTCTTGAGCAACCATCTAGTGAAGAAGACGCAGAAGACAATGATGGGATTCTCCTTCTTTTATTTGATGGTATTGAGTTCACATCTTTCCTTGAAAACATCCTATATTACATTTCAGGATTCATCGTCAGGAAAATAGCCAATAAAATCGACTGTGAGCAGTGTGCAGAAGCTCTTGCTTTCCCTACTTCTTCAATGGATCATCCATATGTGAATTTGCCATTTTCCTTTGCCATGCTTGTCGTTCGTAAAAACAGAGGCGGCTTAGTTCAAGCATCATATGGTGCATTTAAGGTGGTAGAACACTGCGAGAAAGCATTTAAACTTAACGTTCTAGAAGGTGGAAATAAAGCCATAACATCAAAGCCACACTTGGTTCGCAAAATGATTGTCCAAGTGCTTGCGGTTTGTGACTGGGGGAATATCTTTCCAAACATCAAAGATCACCGTTTCGAAGTCGACACGGCTTTTGAGGACGATCATGTCACCCAACTTGTCAAGAGAATATCAACGAAATACTTGACCGTCCGACTTCAGACATATGCAAAAAGATACACAAGACAAGTTATCAACAAAAACATTCCAAGTATTCGTCACAAAATGAGCAAATTGGTCCTTTTCAAAAACATTTAGCGCGTAACTTCACTTTTGTAAATATTGTTTGACTAGGCCATCCCAGAAGACTAAAGGTTGTTTATGCTCGCAAAATAAGAATTCGCTGTTTCTGATATCCACAATTTAAATCTTTCTGTTGAGAAAATTGTTGCAGCTTTATTCACAATCAGCTTTGTTACTTTGAGTTTCTTGTAATTGCATACTTTTGCATCGCTCTTTACGCCTTACCCTGCTTTGATAGGTCTGCACGTTCATGTCTTCTGCCGTGCAAAATGAGACTTCCGGTGTTGCCACGGGGCCTCACCGCTGCTCATTCGCACAGCCTCCTGTTGTCCCTCTAGCGTATTCTATTCACCTCATTGGATAAGACTCTGTTTGAATACTGCCATGTTTGAAACTCAGCAAGGTCTCGGGACAGTGTCAGAAGAATCTTTTCGATTTACGCTATGGGCTCTATCTATGATGATCCCTTTTAAACCCTTTCGTAGTCATAAGGACATATTTGCCCGTTTCAATACTGCCCAAGCAAAAACCCAGAAAAAAGGCATAAATAACTCAAATATATGATAAAAAGTTTATTTTCCATGTATAGGTTATTCAAATTAAAAGTTTACTGCAGTATTTAAACATAACTTTACTTGTTTTTAGAAATATGATAAGGTCGAAAACAGTCTATACAAAGACTGTATATAAGAGCACCTGTATTGTACTTTCTTTCCACATTCATTTTTGCAGCAGCCTCTTTTGCTAGAACTAATAACAAAGTGCTGAACACCATCAAATCTTTTTGATGGGTTAGGCTGCTGGCCAATCTCTCTCTTTCTGGATGTGAATGATCCTACCAGTCCTTAAAAAAGTTCGACGCGGAACTCCTTTTGCCCAATTTTCATGGCATTTGGCTGATTTTTCTGAATAATCCAGGCATTTACCACAGCTTCTTTTAGCATATCAAAAAAAATTGGGAGCCACCACCTGTAGGTTTTTCTTGACATACTGTTGTAAGCTATCAGTTGATCATTTGTGTCAACACCTCCCATATTTGACCAGTATGCTGTAATGCAAGGTGGACATCGACGCACAATTTTTTCAGCAGTGCCTCTTTGGGACTTCTTGACAACATCTGTGTCACCTGGTGTGGCCCTACACATACTGCTGATCAGAATCACATCTTTTGTGTCCTTCCATTTGGTGATGACTGTCTGGGGGTCTTTCATCCTCCAAATCATTTCACCAGGTTGAAGCTTTGCCTCTTTGATTTCAACTGGGACCCCAGTTCTATATGAGCGAATTGTTGCTGTAGCATATATGCCCCTTTCATACAACTTGTCGATAAGTGGAATGGAGGAAAAGAAGTTATCAAAAAAAAGCATCCATGGCTGGCCAAGTTGCAAATGTTCTGCCATTTGTAAAACCACATGCTCTCCAAGACCAACCTCTCTTTCCTCCCCTTTACCCGTGTAAATATCAAAAGCATATAGGTATCCAGAAATGGAATCTACAAGCTTCCACATCTTAAAGCCCCATTTATTGGGCTTGTCCTTCATATACTGTTTCAAAGGACTCCTTCCAGTGAAGGAAATCATGCCCTCATCAATACTGTTCTGTTGATGGGGCACCCAACATCTTTGGAATGATTGCTGCAGCAAGTTCATAATAGGCCTCACTTTTTGCAATTTATCATGACTTTCATGACCTTTTGGCAACGCAGCACTGTTATCATTACAATGTAGAAACCTGAATATGTCTCTAAAACGATGGTAACTGAAAACAGTTTTTATTCTTTCTTGCCCCAGCTCTTCAGACCAATAATCTTTGAGCTCTCCAAGAGAACATAGGCCCATAAATGTGAGGCACCCGAGAAATGCTTTCAACTCCATAACTGTGACAGGTTCCCATCTATCTTTCGAAGATGGTGAGGTGAAAGGGTGCTCAAGTCTTTGGGCTGCATACCTGTTTGTTTCAGAAACTAACTGTTCCAAAAGTTCTGGCGTGAATAGTAACTCAAAATATTTAACAGCAGCGACACCTTCTTCGAGTATAACTGTTGGTCCAGACTTTTTTCTAAAAGTCGGGATATGAATCGGACGTTCAATCTCATCCCAAATGGGTCCACTCTCATCAAAATCTTCTAAACGCTCTACAAGGTCTTGCTTTCTTCCTGTGCAGGTTAATCCACGGCTTTTACACAACTCTTTCAACTCTTCTACCTTCAAATTACTATATTGCGCCGCAGTTTCCTCAAAATCTGTAGATTCGTCAACAACAAAGTCAATCACTTCGTCTTTGCTATCGGACGCCATTTTGAAACTAAACCGTCAGAAATTTGGCTACGAGGTTGTTGATAGAATGGCTTCAAAACGAGGCCTTTGCGGACACCCTGCCCTTCCTACTCTGGTTGCAGCGAGACGAGAAAATATGAAAATATTCAAATTTCAGCAAAGATTTCAAACAGAATATCAGTCAATCAAATTCATAAGAAAACCCGTCATTGATTAAATTGTATTTTCTGATGCAGAAATTTATATGCTTTCATTTGACGTAAAGTATATCACTATGCGATGCATTAATCAAAAGTTATGATATCATTAATGATAGTCACTTTTCATTCTCAATTTCCCTATGACTACGAAAGGGTGAGATGCTTAGAAATCATTTCATTTGACTGCTCCCTGCTTTCACTTTTTGATCTTGGTTCTGGGAAGCCATGGAAGACAAGGGTCCTTCTCATGGTTCTATTTCTAAGATCTTCGATTTCCTCTTGAAGGCCTTTGATAAGACCTTGTTTTTTAGCACCTCTTCTTCCAACTTGTTGATTTTATTAGAATTTGCTTGTGAAATTGATACTACAATGTCTGACTTTATCACAAGTGAGATCATTATTTGACTGCAGTTTCCCAATATTTTTTTCGGCAACTTCTAGCCTTTTGCATAAATTATTTTGTAGCTCATTAAACCTTTCATCAATCTTGGTTTCAATGACATTTTTTAGATCCTTGTGGAGTTGATTCACCCAAACGGGCTGCTCCTGTTGCATCAGATCAATAGACTCACCTGCATCCGACCTAGGCATGCTAGGCCTATTTACAGACTCAGCTTCAGAAGTTTCCTGGGAATCTTCGAAGTCCTTGCTTCCCAAATCAGCAGTTTTTTTCTACCCGTGTTTATTTTATTCATAGCTTAAATTTCCCATTGTAATCTCTATGATGTTAAAATATAATTTAAACTAGTTTCACAGAGTCCAATAAGCGACCTCACGCCATTCCAACATCAACAACTCGGATTGAGTCTAATGACAAGAATGGATTGAGCAGAATGAGATACAGATTTCTTGGGTCATTCATCAATGGAAGCCAAGGATTGCCTTTGAGAGATTTCTAAATGTCTGTGGAATATTTTAAGTAGAACCATATTACGTTTCGATTGTTTTTGTCAATTGGCTTTTTTTGTTTTTGCCAAATTAGCTCCTAGAATCTATCATATGAAAAAGATTATTCATCATAAAGATTATATACTAGTTGTCAGAGTTATTCAAAGTTACTAGTTGACTTGCTACCTTTGATGTGATTCAATATCAAATTTCTTATCAAAGTATTAGCCGCAGACACAGACCGCAGGCAGGGTTGTTGAAAAAATATTTGTATATTCAGATCCAATTTTTACAGGTTGAGCTTCATGTTTGATGTTTGAATTTTTGTATTTGGTGTCCGAAATTTGAACTTTTTGTCTGAGATTTCAATTTGTTGTCCGAGATTTGTATTTAGTGTCCAGGAATTAAATTTTTTGTCCAAGATTTGTTTTTAGTGTCCGAGATTAAATTTGTTTTCCAAGATTTGTATTTAGTATCCGAGATTTAATTTGTTGTCCTAGATTGGAAGTTCTTGTCCAAGATTTAAATTTTTTTTCCAAGGTTAGTATTTAGTGTCCAAAATCAAATTTATTGTCCGAAATTTGTATTTAGTATCTGCAATTAGCATTGCGCACGAGATTTGTGCCAACCACACACTGGTTTTAGAGTTGTTAGATGGCTGATAACATTAGTCAGTCTATATTATCGACAATAGTTGACCAGATTGGCGAGCTGTCTTCCAGTTTCACGACAGGAAACTGTAAGACTCTTCAAGTGGCACCATCTCCCCAGCAATAGAGAGTTTAAGAAAGCTGAATCGTAAACTCTCCAATGCTTGAATGGCAACAGAGCTACAAAATTCTTTGAAGTCGAGCCCCCAACACTAAATGAGTATTTCTTGTAGATCTAATTGATTCAAAAGACTTGAGAACCCGGAAGATGGAGCCACTTGGCACTAGATGCTCACATACCATAAACAGCTTTTTTAAAAATTATCACATTGATAAAGTTCTTATGGTATCCCTGTAAAACGACACTAAATATTGCTACACATATTGCAATGTCAAACTTTCTCTATTATTGTTTTATATTCTGTTTAATAGCCACCTCTGTTTTTATATGCTCTCTTGTTGATAGCTGCTCAATATAAAGCTAAGAGAGGAATATAATCTACTCCTGAATGTAAGTTGTACTTCTGTTAAAAAAACCAAATTGCACTGTCAGGCCAACATGCAGGAATTCGGTACATTCCAAAAGAAATCGGTACATAGCTTTTTGATGAAATCCTCTCGCATTTTAAATAATAGCTACAGTGAATATTGCTTATAATCTAATAATCAGTAGCTGGATCATTAATATGGCAAATATCCAAACTTGAGATGAAATGGCATTATGCCATTTCTCAACTGGAAAGCATATGTGCCATTTTCATAAATAGTTGCCGTAAAATGTCTATGTGCAGCAGCTTTTGATAGAAAAAATAAATTAAGTGTTCAATTAAGGGTGTTGCTTCAATTGATAATTGCAAACTCAAATTAGTACAGAAAAAAACAGGGAAACCTTGGATAAATTGTTGAGAAGGTAATGCAGGGGTACTACAGATAATTTAAAACCATTTTAGATATAAAACAGTTATAATACTATCAGGTTCTTATTTGATTGACAAATAAAACGTAGCTACAGTTTACAGTAAAATATGATTAACTGCAGAATCAGACTTTATTTAAAAGGTAAAAGTATAGTTAAAAAGTACAGCTGTAAACAATTGAGCAACTGTGCTGTGGTATTAATGAATTTAAAGACGCTGGAACTGTTTAAAGGCTAACAAGAAAGTCTGTAAAACTTTACCACATCGGGATCACAATTTTTGCTTTGGAATTAAAGAAAAAAATTGAATGTTCTTTCTAAGGGAAGGACAATGGCCTTAAATAAAGCATAGGCCATGATGCACTTTAGTTGCAACTTAAAATCTACAAATCAAAGAGTGTACATCTGGCATTAACCACTCTATGACAGACCAGTGGCAATAAACAGTTATTATATATGCTCTAATGTGTTTATGAAAAAGTTGGAATCAGTTTTTGTAAATTCGACAGTTTTATTAGGGTAGGCTTATTCAAAAGTTGATAGCAAAAAGGGGAGCTTGGTTAAATTATTTTTGTATATGCTGTTATGACTGTTAACATATTAAGATTTGTCCAACAATTTATTAACAACATCAAGCAGCAGCTGGTTCTGATGTTGCATTTGCCCTTGCTGCTGCTGAAACATTGCCATCATTTCCGTGTCTTTCTTTACCCTTGCCTCAATTTTTTCTTCATTTCTAGCTCTTGTTG